GGGGGGGGGTGTAGTATAGTTTCCTAAAAATGAGGCAGAGGCTGACCTCCTCCGTGATTGCGGATGCAAAATACTGCAAGTAGATTGGCTATGAAAGAACATAGGGCTGGAGAGCTGGCTAGAGAAAGAAAGACTTGAAGGTGTGCGGTGTTCTGTAAAGGACCTGCTGCTTGATGAATGAATGCAATTCTAGAAGGGGAAAAACATAATTACTGTGCTACTTCTTTAACAACCTTGTGTGGTGAAGGTTGGGTAAAAAAATTACAAGACATTCTATGAACAAAATTCATTTTGATTTAACTAACCATAATACAGTATCTCCTATTAAATTTTCACGGTTGTCCTAAGTAAAGATAATATAAATGACTATTGAGGACTATCATCACAGCACTTGTTTTGCGCTTCTCAGGTGGCTTGGGTGATAGATTTGTTAATCTTTTTGCAAGTTTAGCTACACTATTTATCCATATCTTTCTTGGTCTTCCTCTCACCTTCTTCCCAGATATTCTGCTGTAAAAAGTCTCATATGCAGTTTGGGCTGGCTGCATTTTCACTAGATGGCTGAAACATTTCATTCTTTGTTCTGTCAATATAATCCAGACATGGTCTTATTCCAACTGTCTCTCTAATGCTGGTATATATAACCCTGTCTCTTCTTGTGCTCTTAGTGATCTTGCAGAGACAAAGCATTTCATATGTTGTTATTTTCTGTTCTAGTGGACTATTCATTGTATTAGGCACTGATAACATAAAGTAGGGATAAAGATACTATTAATCATTTATTGTTTTGCTAGAAGGGAGACATCTGGGTGTCTAAGCAGTGGGGCTAACTGGTAGGTAGCAGCATTTGCCTTCATCTATAATATTCATCAATAATAGCGAGAGTTGTATAACAATATGGTTTATTGAATTATTTAACTGTTTTCAGGTCCATTATTGCCAATTTAAGGATCTCCTGAAAGGGAGAGTGGGCTCATACCTTCACCTATATTTCGTTTGCTGTCCCATCCAGTTTCATAGTAAGGGTTGGAACCCCAATCTTGCACTGGATTACCCTGGAGTCTACTAAGTGAAGGTCAGGTAGGCTTGAGCAAGACAGGCTAATAGCCACATGAATCTTGTATTGCATATAGCTATACTATCAGAGACGCACTGCTTCGCCTAACAAGCATGTTTTAAAAGATTACTACTAATCTGGGGGTTTTCTGTGAGTGTATCTGCCTGAGAGGTAAGGAACCAACAGCCTGCACACACAAATGTCAGTTCTTTAAAACAGTTGTGCATGCAAAACTCAAGCTCTGAAACAAGGCAAAAGTTCAGAAGTGGACACAGTTTATAGCCAGTGAATGTGCAAGAATGCCAAGCCCATGAATGAAAATGTTAGTAAGATCAACGAATTACTCTTTGCAGATGACCAGGCCTTGATAGCAGATACAGCCATGAAATTGCAACAACACCTAACATCCATGAATGAAGAATGTAAAACAAATAATATGAGAATCAACACTGAAAAGACAGAAGTAATGTCAATAGGAAAAAAGAAGACAGATCTAAACATAGCAATAGAGTGCAAAGGCATTAAACAGGCATCTGAGTTTAAATATCTGGGAACTACATTTACCGAAGATGGGAAATTGGATAAAGAAATTAATATTAGATGCAGTAAAGCAAACCAAGTATTGGGACAGCTAGCCCCCCTCTTACAGCATAAAACAATCCCAATCAGCACAAAGAGACATCTAATTCAAAGCATATTTATTCCAACTCTGTGCTACCAGTGCCAGACATGGACACTCACAACAAACCATAAAAGAAAATTAGTAACCACGGAAATGAGATGTCTGAGAAGGGCTGTAGGAGTGACCATAAGAGATAAGATCAGGAATGAGATCATAAGAGAAAAAGTCGGCACAGAACCAATTCTGGATTACATACGAAGACAGCAAATGAAATGGTTTGCCCACTTAGAGAGAATATCTTATGACACCATACCATACAAAGCATACATGGAAAGAGAAGAAGGACGTAGAGCACGAGGTAGACCAAGAACAACATGGAAGGATAACATCAGAGAAACTCTACAACAGCACGATGTGCCTATGGTCGAGGTGGCCAGAAGAGCTAGAAACAGAACCTTATATCTCCCTCGACACCCACAGCGGTAAAAGAGGAAGTGAAGAAGAAGAAGAAGAAGAAGAATGTGAAGAAGTAGCAGTATATATAGTAATATGAAATAAAACAGTGGCATCTGAGGATAATCAAGCATACACAAAATAATAACAAGTATGTAAAAATACATGGACATTAAAACAGAAGCTTATCTAAAAGTTTATAATGCAATATGAAATAGAACACTTAATCCAAAACCATGCAGTGTAACAAAGGTGTTGAACAAGTTAAATCTCATATATATATATATATATATATATATATATATATATATATATATATATATATATATATATATATATATATATATATATATATATATATATATATATATATATATATATATATATATATATATATATATATATATATATATTTTTTTATATATATATATATACACATATATATATATATATATATATATATATATATATATATATATATATATATATATATATATATATATATATATATATATATATATACATATATATTCTGTTAAAAAAAGAAACGCATAGTTATCCGATGGCGCGTTTTTATTAGTTTGTAAATAAAATATCGTACTCGGGTATGTAAAAAGCAGACTCAAATGTTATTTACCGTGTCCAGTGACATGTGAGCATGAATTGTTTTTAAGACCATATTTGTGAGCATAGCTCACGATGCACGCAAGAGAAAGCAACACAATTTGTGGTGAACACTATTCACTGCCTACGCAAGTGAAACCCTATAAAAGGATAATGCTAAACTAAAATGATCAGTTTATTTTCAAGCAGTCACGAATGGGGCCTCTCGATAAATTTAAGGAATATTGCTATTGGCCGATTGCAGGCAGGAGAAAGTCAGAGTACCATCAGTCGACTTTAGTACCGGTTCCAAGCCACTGGTTTAGTTGAAGACCGACATCGCAGTGAACGACCCAGAGTGACAACAGCAGCAGAGAATCGCTTTATTCAGCTTCATCACCTCAGAGCCAGGTTTACAATAGATTCCTCAACTGCACAGGCATTGCCTCCAGGACGTCATGTGTCTGATCAAACTGATAAGAACAGACTGCATAATGTTGGACTTTGGGCTTGACGACCACACCGAGGACCTGTCCTCACGCGTCACCACTGCCAAAATTGACTTATTTGGGCCAACCAACATCGTTCCTGGGCAAGTGACAATCAGTGGAGACGTGTCTGGTTCAGTGACGAAAATTTATCTTTGTTGCAGCTTCATGATAGACAGCGCAGGGTCTACCATAGACGAAATGAAGGTTTAGCCCAAAATTGTGGTTGAGGTGTAATGGTATGGGGAATGATCAGTTACAACGGAAGGAGTCAATTGGTGCACACTGAAGGAAGCTTTTTCAACCACACGACCATCCATTTTGGGATGCCAACAAGTATTTTTTTCAACAGGACAATGCCAGACCCCACTCTGCACAGCCTACCACGCAGTTCCTGGCTGCCAATAACATTAAAACCCTTCCCTGGCCACCCCTGTCTGCAGACATGAGTCCGATTGAGCACCTGTTGGATGAGCTTCAAAGATGTGTTTGTCGCCGAAACGTTGTTCCTAGCCAATGGTCGTGATCTGTTCCAGGCACTCCAGGAAGAGTGGGCAGCTATCCCACAGGCCCACATCAGACATCTGATCGCATACATGCCCAGGAGATGCCAGTCACTGATCAACGCAAGATGGGGCCACACACCATACTAATGGGAAAGGCCTACGTTTAAAAACTATCGTGACCCAGATGCAAAAAAAAAAAAAAAGGTGTCAATTGATTGGTGGAACCCTAAGGTATTCTTGTGTGAAATTTGAGCAATTTCACTTACTGCATTACAAAGATGCAGAATGTCAAAATGTTGAGTCTGTTTGTTCCTTTCAGTAACTATGCATTTCTTTTTTCTGTTTAAACAATATATATATACATATATGACAAAAACAAAACTCAGACTACTCCACCTGCCTCAAATAACAGAACCATACCAGCAAAAAGCAAATGTGACAGCACAGCATTCTTATTTTTGTTTTATGTCATCCTCATGTGGGTTCTGGAGCCCCATTTTGGGAGACAAAGACTAGAGCCACTGCCTCCAAACAAGCACACTGTTTCAAGTGACTAATCTAATTAGCCACCTTTTACAAATACTTGTTGGGAGTAGTGGGTCTATTCTTGGATCAGGTGGACTGGAAGGTCCAGATTTCACAGCCAAACTATAAACCGTAACAAGATGTACCTATCACATTTTTTTACGGCAAATGCAGAAGAAGAAATATTATGTCAGTGCTAAAGAAACATTGTGTGGGGATAATAAAATTAACAGAAGAACTAGTCCCACAAAACACAAAAATACCTGTCATGTACATATTCAGACAATAAGAAAATAATAAAAATACTAATAAACTACACATATTTATAAACTGGCGCCTGTGCAGAATAGAAGGACTTAAATGGCATGACTGAATCACTTAAGAGGAAGAGAATTCAACAAATTGCACAGAATCAAGAGGTGAAGAAAGGATGCTGGTACTGGATAGCACACATGGTGAGAAAACTATATAACAAGAATGTCTTTGCACTGGAACCCACAGCAGCATAAAAATAAAGGCACATACAAAAATACACGACGAACGGAACTAGAGAATGAGGTTAAAAAGATGGAGAGGACATGTGAGCTGCATGCGATGACAAAGGATAGGACGACTCGGTGTGAATTTGTTGTGGGGGTTATGCTCCACTGGGGGAACAGAGGGTGGAAGAAGAAGAAGTCCTAATAAAAATGTAATTAAAATAAGCACTAGAAGCAAAATAATACACCTACATGCAGGAAAGCATGCTAAACACCCTCATGCTGTACCCACACGGATGTGTCGTTGCCAGTAGCTGATGTATGATCTTCCTTCCCAGAGCCCTCATGCATGAGGGGGACCTTATGTTCCTTGGAGTGTGAGCCATTCAAAAGGTGTTCCTTGTCACCTGAAGACCCTGATGCTTCTATTCGAGCTCGGCATCTCTTCAGTTTAAAGAGTATCATTACCACAGAGCTCCATAACAGGCAGGCCCCTGGATTAAAGAAAAAAAAAAAAACAGGTTACATCATGCCAGCCAATCATGGAAAAAAAAAAAGGGTTTTAAGATTCACGTCATCAGTAGATGTCAGTGACGGTACAAGTCTGGCTGGCTTCAATCACAGGTTAGAATTAAGTCGATCGAATCACTTCTTTTTACTTGGTTTAGAGCCAAAGTCATAGAACAGGGATCAGCTAGCCCCACAGATCTGGTAATGTCATGCTCAGACAAGATGTCCGATACATCAGCTGGCCTCACAGATCTGGCAATGTCATGCTCAGACAAAATGTCCGATACATCAGCTGGCCTCACAGATCTGGCAATGTCATGCTCAGACAAGATGTTAGATACATCAGCTGGCCTCACAGATCTGGCAATGTCATGCTCAGACAAGATGTTAGATACATCAGCTGGCCTCAAAGATCTGGCAATGTCATGCTCAGACAAAATGTTAGATACATCAGCTGGCCTCACAGTTCTCTCAATGTCATACTCGGACAAAATGTCCGATACATCAGCTGGCCCCACAGATCTGGCAATGTCATGCTCAGACAAGATGTTAGATACATCAGCTGGCCTCACAGTTCTGACAATGTCATACTTACTTTACTTTACTTTTTCCTTCCACGTATGCCGCTAAGCGTTGTGGGGAGATGCAAGTTCCTGTCGTAAGCAAGGCGGGCAGCATCTGATGTTCTGAGGCCATGCTTTTGGCAGGTTTCGGAGACCCCGTCAATCCACCGTTTCCTTGGTCGACAATGTCATACTCGGACAAAATGTCCAATACATCAGCTGGCCCCACAGATCTGGCAATGTCATGCTCAGACAAGATGTTAGATACATCAGCTGGCCTCACAGTTCTGCCAATGTCATGCTCAGACAAAATGTCCAATACATCAACTGGCCTCACATATCTGGTAATGTCTTGCTCGGAGAAGATGTCTGATACTGCCTATACCAACACGGGGATGCAGTTCACAGACAGCACAATCCTGTAGATACACTATGACCTGTCAGGTTATACTTCTATAATCTACATGAGCAGAGGTTGTAATGTCTCTCTGAAGAAAAATCAAAGCAAGATACTATATATAGTGAAGTGGTTGAAGGTGTTAGTGTCTGATTAACGGCAGACAGAGCAGTGGATGACAATAGAGATTAATATTTTCTCACCGGCTTGAGCTGTATACTAGCAACAAATTCACAGTGAATGTCAGTGACACTGATAAAGCAGCAAATTATCAGTAGGATATCTCATTTACGATAGAGTGGGCTGTAAGATGCATCGACTTTTGGGATTCAAATTGCAAGCTTTCATGAGCCTGACACAACCTTTGTATGCGATAGGAGACAGCATGCTAGAGTATCTTGGTTTTGGGCTACCTCCGCAGAACAATATAAAACAAACTTGAGGCTATAGTATTCTTGAGGTAATCTAAATAAAATATCATCACTTCCAACTTGGTCTATGTTATAGGTCACACAAATGATCAAACAAAGGTTCAGTGGCGATGTCAAAAAAAAGGAGAGAGAAAAAAAAACAATAGGCACATCCCTATCTGCTACATCTGTTAAAAAAGAGAGGGCATGTTGTGTGTGTTCTCCTTCAAGCTCATCGAAAACTATGTGAGCTGATGTGTGGACTCTAATAAACACAAATTATTTTGTTGGTTCTGAAGAACAAAGGCAATATTTGCATTGCCAGGTTTTAAACCAGAGGTCTATGATCCTAGTGCTGTCAGTCTGACTGCAACTACTGATGGCGGGGCTGAGAAGCACAAACAAGTGTATGCTCATCTGAAATGACTCTATACAGATCACAGGTCTTGAAAGTGTGTTATAAAAAGCCACATCACATAATCTGTTGTCTACCGATAAAGTTAAATACTGGTTCTGTACCCACTCTCCTCGTTCCTAAGTATTCATTTCTACACATCAGCCATGGACACACATGATTCTAGTTAACTGTTTAATTTCTTAATATGTTCGTTCCTTCTTTAACATTGAGATAGCAATGTCACCTGCACTGAATTATGTATGTGTGTATTTACCTAACTTTCGATAAGTAAATTTGATGGAATCTGTCTAGGAGATGGAAAACGAAAATAAACCTTCAAGTTCAAGGTGGGCCAACATGCTGAGGGACTGAATGGCCATGGGTAAGTTGATGGATGTGAGGCCAAACTTATTTGATGGATGTGATGCTAACCTTATAGGATGGATATGATGCCAACCTTACAGAATGGATAAGTTTAGGTAGGTTAAGACAATGGATCAGCATCACGGCACTAGGGGGAACCCATAAGTACTCCGTTGTACTTCTGACTCATGCCTGAGACCCAAGAATCACAGTGCAGTGCACAAACTCCGTAGCACCGGTAAGGATCCTGAAATACTTTGGGTAGATTTTTAACTCTAAATTTTGCCCAGGCAGCGCCATTAGGATACTCTTTTTGATTTTCAACTGCTAAGGGATTTTGTAACGTGCGCAACAATACACATGGGCATCCCATATTACTACCCAGAGACCAGGGGAAATTACTGGAAGTCCACGTGACTGAAAAACACATCTCCATACAAAACTCAATTTCTGGAACAACACTAAAGTCCATCCTGTGTCAATATTTGTGCTAGTCGGCCTCTTCCCCTTTTACGTGGTACCATACCCTCTTTCCCATCCACTGCACTTGATATGGCCATACGTTTTTCAGTTTCAGATTTAATACTGTTCGCAAGCAAATTTTTCTTGATATTCAGACCTCTTAGGATGATGTTAATAGAAGTTGAGAAAAACAGACACAGTGACAGACAGCAGGGGAGATATGGAAAGGGACAGCACAGGCAAATGCATACTCAAAGCTTAACATGCAGATGTTAGACGTCTGTGTGTACTCATTCTATGTGTGTACTCATTCTGTGTACTTATTCTATGTGTGTACTCATTCTGTGTGTGTACTCACCAGCCAGGTAAAACACATACTTAAAGTCATTTTCATGTTGCCACAGCAGACCTGAAAAAAAAAATGAATGTAAAAACCTGTGTCTCCAAAATAAAGAATGTTAATAATAGTATTTAATAAATGATAATTTTCCACAAAGATGTATGTGTAACAATCTATATGTGGAGAGACTAAATGAGCAGGAAATGAGCAGGGAGTAAGCATATAGTCTGGAGGATTTTCTAGGCATACACAATAAAATAGGGGAACCTTTAATCATGTTACAAACAGCATTTTCAGTATTGCAACTCTTCGTTGTCTACTGATGAGGGAGAGAGTGCTTGTGTTCCAAGCGTAATGATGTTAGTTCTTGGTTCATTCATTTATATTTTCCTTAGACACAGGTCATTTGTAACACACTCACAAAGCATGTTGAGCAGAGTGGCAAGTATCTCTTAAGAAGGGTCGGGTAGTTAGCAATTTTTGGATGATCTCTTCAGGGCATGTGTGTTGGAAAACTAACAGACATATAGATTTGCTGGTTCTGAACCACTTGGTGGTAAAATAATGCATGGCAAGGTAGATGATATGAAGCAAGGCTCTTTGGGTGTGAGTGAACAATGCAGAGGCATAAAAAAGATCAACATGGTCTTTAGAGAACTGTTCAGCGGGAAGTGACCAGGAAAATGTGGCCAACATTCAACACTCAGGGGAAAGACAATCTTTAGCTGCTGACAGTATTAGAATCAGAACTCTGCACTTGCTGCTGAAGATGGAGGAAACAGCACTTATAGGAATGTCTCAAATAATTTGACATCGCTTCTTAACTGAAATAAACTCAACTTTCCCTTAGATTGAACAAGAGAAATTTCAACACAGTCAGTGCCCAAGTGGGTTCTAGGACTGCACTGACCCCCCCTTCCTCAAGCATGTCCTAGGAGGCGACTAGTTAGGGGTGTTTCCCTCAAAGTCGGAATGTATCTACCTGAGGCAAGGAACCAACAGTCTGAATACAAATAAGCTAGATCTGTACAGCAGATCTGCAGACAAAACTCAAGTTCTAAAACAAGACGAGTCCAGTAGTGGATGAACAAAAATAATGTCGCACTGGAGTTTAGAGCCAGTAAACAAAAAAACTGCTTGAACCCTGCAGCATCAGCTAAGATCTAAATGTGGTGTTTATACTAGAAATATTTTTTTCACTGGCATCTGATTTGGAAATTTTATCTGGACAGTCTCAGTTTTAGTCTTAGTCAAGGTTTCAACTTCACTACAATTGGGTCACCCCACTAGTGTAACTCAAAAGGGGATTGGGGGGGGGGGGGGGAATGGTACTTAAAAAATTCTAGTGAATCAAAAGGTGAAGAAAGAAAGATGCTGGAAAGGACACACTGAAGAAATCTGCAAGAAATATAACTAGAATGACTTTGCATAAAAACCAGCAGAGCCATTTAAATGGGGGAAAAACCCACAGATAAACAGAGAAGAGTTACTGACTGAAGTAAATAAGATACAGAAGAATATAGCAAAATATAGGACAACCTGGCATGAGTTAGTGACGGGCTTATGCTACATTTGAATAATAAAGAGCAGAAGTTCAGATATAGATGGAATTCCCACCCCCTTTCCAATTCATCAACTCTCTAAAACCTTTTCACAGATCCCCTGGAAGTTAAATGAACCCATTTCTAAAAAAAAGCTTAGATAACTATAAACATACCTGCAAGAGGTCCACCAGTAAGAGCTCCAATAGCCACCATAAATGACAGGTATCCATTGCCAACTGCGATGTACTCTGGACCGAGCAGCTCCCTCGACACCTGAGACAAGAAAGTTGTCCAGAAGCCACTATAGAACCCGAAGAGAATTGTGTACCCAACCTGTCCAGTAAAATCTTTAAACAACAGTGGGCAAATACCAGTTATCACAACTCCCAAGCCGAAGGAACATACAGTTGAAGTTACATCATCCAAGGTACTGCTTGGGCCCATCACTGCAAACATTATGCGGCTAGCAAAGCTGGCAATTCCCACGCAGGACATCAAGAAAACGGAAGTTTCAAATGGTGTGCCTTCAGCCATTGCGTAGGATGGGAGGTACATATACACGATGGTTGAACCAAAACTCCAGAACATGTTAGCGAAGCACATGCCAATAAACAGAGGGTGCTGCAGAGGAACACATGACAGCATTGGCATTAGCTTCATTTCTCTTTCATGACCTGTTGGTTTCATGATAGCTCCACAGACACAGAGGTTGAGGGCGATTCCAGAAAGAATGAGCATTGCTCCTCTCCAGGCAAAATAATCCACCAAATAGCGTATCAGCATAGGGAATGTGATGATGCCGGCACCAACTCCAGCCAAAACTGCACTCAGAGCCCGGAACCTTCCATGAATAAAGTACCTCTCCACTGCCACGATTGAAGGTGAGCATGCCAACCCAAACCCGAGACCTGGGGAACATAAACAGAGACTTGTTAAAAATCTACTTGTATGCAAATTCAAACCAATGAATCAATTTCTAGCAGGTAAGCAAAACTTGTGAATATAGTTCACAGCTAATGCTAGTACTCAGAGATGTAATGCTAAACAAATTATTTGGAGGAAAATGGACATTAACCCTTTCACCCTGGTAATGCTAAAAAAAAAGGTAATAACCCTGTGGGTATACTAACAAATAAAAATAATGTAAAAACAACAATTTCACAAATGGACATTTTTACATTTGTTCCCCCAAATATAGAAAGACATATAAAGGAAGTAATCAATAAACATTAAAAAAAAAAGCATTAAATGGAATACATTCCCCAAAGCCTAACAATATATGTATATGACTCATGCCATGACCCTGTGACCTCTACCACAGAGGTTTACGGGAAGCTGTGAAGAAACTTTGCTTTAAAAACATTTGGTTTGAAGGAAAACTTGCTTTAATCTATATTTAATTAATATATTCACATTCTGACCTCATAAATATTTGAGCAGATGTGAACACAGATAAAAGCATCAACTATATGTCTCATTCACAGGTCGCTATAAATAAGTTGAAAAAGTGACATGAACAGGGAACTGATCCCAGCTGGAAGTGTCAGTTGTGTGGCTTCTCAGGTGACAGGGTTAAATGACTAGGATACAATGAAATCAAAGAAGAGACATTAAATGACCAGTATATGCTGAAATCACAGGAAAAAAAACATTCAATGACCAGTAAATAAAACAGGTAAAGAACCCTTTTAACACCAGTAGCACATAAGTATACAATGTTAAATTAATATTTTACAGACCAGTAGGTATTCAGGTGATGTTGTCAACATCATGCTGGCTGCTTTTATTTACTAAGAAATTTCCCGGTACCTATTTTAAGCTGAGTCGATCTGAGAGCCAAAGTTATTTTTTTTCCAAATCCACCCGGTGCGGGTTTGAATTAAAAAACTTTGGGTTGACAAGCAAGTGTCTAGCCGCCAAGCTAACACGTTAGTTAGTTAGTTAGTTAGTTAGTTAGTTAGTTGGGTTATCGTCATTGCACTCCGGACATGTCCATAGGTGCTCAGATCCTCCCCTTAGTATGAACCCCAACGTCCGATGGCTAATAGTACCAGTTCTATGTTGATTAACAAGTCTTCTGATGTGTCCGGTGTGCGTCTCGTTTTTTGCTGTGCCGATCTTAATTCCCAAGTCTGCCATTCTGGCGAGTGATGTGGATTCACTGCCACCAAAGTCCTCTATCCTTCCCATTTCTCTGAGGGCATTGATAATATCAGCATGATCCATAGGCCGACCGTCGGTAGTGATAGCGGATCCAGCCAGCCTGTCAGCTCTTTCATTTCCATCGACGCCTGCGTGTCCCGAAACAAAAATAAAGGTGACTCCACGCACAGTGGACTTCTGTAATGATTCAAGCCATTGTCTTCGCACTGAACCTGCCTGAACCCTCCGGATCATACTCATTGAATCACTGAGTATACATATGCGGGTGTATTTTTGTGTTTCAAGCCAGGCAAACGCTTGCGTCACTGCCATCACTTCCATCGTCATGCTGCTGGTTGTCATGGAGAAGGCACCGTTGGCTTCTTTGACTGTTCTGCCCGCTGAGCGTGCTGTAAATGCCCATGCGCTTCTTCTTTGGCGTATAACGGATCCGTCTGTATAGATTATTGCATCTGCTTCGTCTGAATTTTCACCGATGAGAGCGTTGACCTCTGCATTAACAGCAACAGGATTCTCTTCTCTACATCGCCTGTTGAGTGTGACAATACAGGAAAATGTACAAATAAACGCCTGAGGCACAGGTATCTATTCTGCACCAGGTATGATGTCGGTTAGGCTGCATATTTGCCTAATGACATCTTCTGCCCGACCTAGCCACGATTTTCCCCTCTTCAGTCTGTCGCCCTTTTCACTAAAAAGCGCTTGATGCAGTGGGTGTTTCTTATCAGCACATATTTTGAGGTATGCTCGAGCCCTCCACATCCTGATCCTTTGGT